TTGTTTTCCTGGAAAATAGAAATACCACCAATGAGATACAAATGTGACTGTAATTATTCTTTATTTCCCAATTATTTCATATATCCATCCAATGTTTTAAAATTTTCTCTGTATAGAATCTTTCAGAAACTATTTGGATACACGTAAAAATCGAGGGACCATTAATTATAAATATTTCAGTTATAATTATTATTATTATCAATATAATTATTATCACTGCTGTTATTATTATTACTATTATTTATTAAGAATTTCGTTTAATATTTATTCACTTCATATAAATATATTAATAAGAGAGAAATTAAAAATATCGTTTTCCTGGAAAATAGAAATACCACCAATGAAATATAAATATGACCGTAATTATTTTTTAATTCTCAATTATTTTATATATCCATTCAACGTTTTAAAATTTTCTCTGTATAGAATATTGCAGAAACTAATTTGATACGTGTAAAAATCGAGGGAGCATTAATATCAGATCATAAATATTTCAGAATATTTCCGCGAAATTCCGAGAACTTCAATTTCAATTTACAACGAAATTTCGCTGCACGTGAATTAAAAATTAAATTATTACATTGAAATATCGTATTTTCCCGGGGGAATACATTTTGGAATAATAATTACGCGTTATTTACGTGCTCCAATGACGCAATGATAATTTCATACGGTGGAATACAAATGAAAAATAAAATAGAACGCGACAGGGATGGAAAATCTGTCGCAAAGCTGTCATTCGTACCGAAACGAAATAAAAGGGAAACTATATTCATCTGGCAGAGTTACGAACAACTTGATATTCCGTGCATTTGCAATTTACAGACTAGCGTATATACTTGGCAAATTTATTCCCGTATGTATAATCGAATCTTTTATTTAATTCGATAAGTTGCAACAAAATGACGTGGCGCTGTTCGCGCATGGAATTAATAAAGTTTACGCAAACTCATGCAAATTCGATGTTAAAAGAATTTTTTGGTCGTGGTGACGGAAATTATTCGCAACAATTCGACGAGAAACAATTCGAGCAAATATGTTTTTACAGAAATTTTGTCGACAGCCAACAAACGTTTTACTGGCATTCTCTGAAATCGATAAAATTGATGTTTGAAACGCGTGTGCGTGTGAAGGGGGCACAGGTGAATCTGTGAAGATTTATTAGAAATAAAAATTCAATGAAATATGGAAAATATCGAATTTTTCTTTCGCGCTGTTCAGATTATGAACGAGAATGAAGTATATGTTACGCGAATTGCTCGCTGTCTTATGGGAAATTTCGTGATAATTTATCATTTTTAATTGTCATATTGGAAAATTTTTATTTGCGAAATATTTAATAAATTATATATCACGAGGAACATAATATTTTGCGAAGTAAATTTTATTTTTACATATATTTATGAATATATGCGAATTATTTAAAGCTTGTCGAAGTAAAATATATTTCATGCGAATAATATGATAATTTATCAAAGATTTAACCATGCATATGACAGAAGGTTTTTATACTTATTTTGCATATATTTATAAATACACGCAGAATATTTATATAAGGCATACTTTACAGTGCCTCGAAATAAAATATATTTTATGCGAATAGTACAATATTTTATAAAATATTTAACGTAGTATAAAGATATAAGAATATTTTTACAAATTTATAAATATATCACGTAAAATTTCAGGTTTCTGCCAAAAACCTCCATAATGGCTACCAAAATTTTCCTACAAAGTATAATAATTTAAAAAAATTCGAAGTTCAAACTCATATACTAATTCTTTTGTTATCATACATAATACATTACTATTAATTTTAATATTATTATTACACATATTTATATAATATTTATATAAGGCATACTTTACAGTGTTTCGAAATAAAATATATTTTATGCGAATAGTACAATATTTTATAAAATATATTGCAAATATTACGTAAAATTTCAGACTCCTACTATAATCACCCACCATCTGTAAACTCCTATAATGGCTGTTAAAATTTTTCTACCAAGTACAATAATTTTAAAAAATTCGAAATTTAAACTCATCAATCAATTTTTCTATTATTATACATAATGCATTACTATTAATTTTCCTATTATTATACATAATACAATCCAATTCATCCCTTAAATATCCTATCACAAAAATCAGATTTTAACCACCGCTACATTTATAATTTCCACGGAGAAACTAAAATTCCAAAAATAGTGATGCATATACAAGCACAGCCATAGCACTGTAATAACATACAAAGCAAAAATTAATTTACGAAACACAGAAATCTTCCCAGGATCGAAATAAAATATATTTCAAGCGAATAGTACAATATTTTATAAAATATTTAATAAAGTATAAAGACATAAGAATATTTATACAAATTTATAAATACATCACGTAAAATTTCAAATTTCTGCCATAACCATCGACTATTTATAAACTCCCATAATAGCTGTCAATATTTTCCTATCAAGTACAATAATTTTAAAAAATTCGAAATTTAAACTCACCTATTAATTTTCCTATTATTATACATAATACATTACTATTAATTTTCCAATTATTATACAAACTGCATGCAAAGCAAAAATTAATTTACAAGACACCGCAAGCATCCCAGAACCACCATCGCTCCAAGAATCTGCGAAACTGGAGCACCATCCAGCTCACATCGACCACCGAACCTGCGAATTTCTACGACCCCTCGATCCTCACGGAAAATCGGGATTAGAAGCAGAAGACAGCCAGGTGGTGCCGGGGCCGATTCACTTTAAGATTGAATACCAGCTCTGTATGTAAATAGTTTGGTGTTCTACCTTACAGTGAATCGACCACGGTATGGTCTACGCGCCTTGTCCAGGCGAGGAGGAAAAATAGGGGATGAAGATAGAAGCAGGAGGAAGAAGGGTGGATCGATGAACGAAAAAGCGGGCCGTTGCGAAGGGGAGAGCGCGTTATCGGCGATACGTGCCTAAGTGGACGGATAGCCTGCGTTGCACGTCGAAGGAGAAATCCCAGGAACAGGCCAGACCCCGTATAGCGATGGATCCCACCCCTAGGGGGGTTGGATCGGATTGCTTCCTTAATGATTTCTCGACCTCGGCTTCCTCGCGATTTCCACGCGACTCGAAGGTTAGGTTCCAGGTGGATCCGTGATTGTTGCGAGACAAATGTTCTCCTTCGATTATTATAACAATTACAGCGAGCAGCAAAACTGAATCTATGCTACATTGATATTTGAACCGCGATAACTTTGGAAGGAAAAATCGTACGGTAATATTTTTAGGGTCGTTGTAAAGAGCAGAGTCTGTAGTTTCGCATGCCATGATTTAATTTTTACTTGGATGATTTTATAGTGGAAAATATAGATAGTTCTTCATTTTGGGGAAGTTCAAAAATTTTTGTAAGGGTCCCAATTAGTATGAAGTGAACCACTGAAATGGCCATTTTGAAGAAAATTCGTGAAAATTAATAGACGATTTTTTATTTTCGAATAATCACATTTTTGGTTTGTGAAAAATTTCTTGAAAGAATAATAAAATATAATATTGTGATATTAATAATAAAAATTGTAGGGTGTAGGGTTTGTTAAAGTTTTTAAGGCTTTTATGGTGGATGATCGAACGTAAAGGGAATTGTTTGGGAAAGAAAAAGAATGGATTGGAAGAGGAAAATTGTTTGTTGAAATCTTTTAGTCTTCGTGGCGAATGAAAGAAAATTGGAAAAATTAAATATAATATTGGAATGGCGAAAAATTCGAGATGATCTGAGAAGAGTGGAAGATTTGTTGAAATTTTCGAGGTTTATATGGTACAGTTGTTTCAAAAAGAAAAGATATAGATAAATTAAAAATAATATTGGAGACATAGAATGGGGAAAAATTCGAGATGCTCTGAAATAAATGTACAATAAATATGCTTCATTGCAAAAGAGTAAGAGATTTGTTCAAATTTAAAAAATTATATTAAATAAGAATCATGTCAATAAGAATATACCATATAATTATACCAAAAAATTATTACATTTTTCCAGATAAACGAATAAATTATATTAACACCTAATTACACAATATATTATATTAATCATATTGAAAAATTATTTCACAATTTCCAAGAAATCAATTACTCATGTTTATAATTAACTAATTTGTCACTCGCATTGAAAATCTAAATTAAACAAAATGCCAATTGCAACACTTCCCTTAACACTTTAATGGCTGCTTGCACAACATGTGCGTGATGATGCCGCCGATTAATAATTAATAATCATCACACAAAGGAAAAATATTAGCCCTTTGCACTCAAGAGGCGTCTCTCAGTCGCCATTTAATCAGATTCTAAAGATGGATGTTACTTAATATATCAAATTTACAATTACCCAACAATGCGTGAAATATCGAAGCAAAATAATTTTACGTCTTAATTTGCATACGATTTCTTATTTGTCGCTTTAAAAATATCGTCGACTTTATGGCAGTAGGTCTTCGAATTACTATATTCCTCTAACGAAAAATCCGCCGAGTGCAATGTGCTAAATTGTTATTGTTTTCTGTTTTATATGTATATTCGCACATATACGTGAATTTCATTTATTTCGTGAATTTTAAATAGAGTTTCCTTAAATTAATTCTTCAAAAATATTGCCTTCAAAAATATTTGAATATAATACATATTCAAAAATATGTACTGACACTGTTTGACTGTGTAAACGTGCGGTCATTAAAGTGTTAATCCTCACAGAAACTGCAATATCCTAGCATCAATGATAGCTAGTTATTCTACAACATTTAAAACGTCAATAATAACTAGCAATGAAATTTTTCCATAGACGAGTTCTGCAACGAGTTCCCTCACAACCTGGTGCCAACACCTGGCTACTGGATCGAGTGTTCCAGACAACAGATCACCTCTGACACGATCTGGGACGAGAGCGAGAGCGGAGAGGCTACAGACAACGAGCTAGCAGAGGTTCCACAGGAAACGGAAACCGACGAGCTGCCCAGGAAGAAGACCACGATCGAGGAGCACTGGGAGAAGAACCAAGGCTTCGAGCTGACATCCGTGGAGCAGGAGACCTACGAGAAGTACTTCTACAAGAATGATCATTGGAATTATTTCACCAATGACGAAGACCTCGGACCTGTCATACTCAGCATCAAGCAGGAGAACTTGAACAGTCGGGATCAGTTCAGAATCCTCGTCAGAGCGATCAGTTATACCGCGCATGGACTCATCCCTGCCAGCTCTGTGTTCGCTGACAGGTATTTAGGCGTTTCATCTTTGCCTTTGAACATAGTTCTGACGATTTTCGGATTGGTCTACGTGTCTCGGGTCTGAGAATCGCGTAGTATTAGTATTAGGGTTTAGATTGCGTCTAATAATTAGAAATGGCTGAGGAATATGTAGGAATGTTGTGTAGGCAACGGAATAAGTGATGTAAATATAAAAATTATTTATATAGGGAAATATTTTGATTGGCAAATATACGGAATAGAGGATATTGTTAATTCCGATATATTTTATATACGAGCTAAAGAGAGTTAAGAGCAAAAATACAAACTAAAAGATTAGCCTAATTACGCAATTTACACTCGCACGTCAACTCTTCGACTGTCCTAGGACAGTCCTTGCACCCTCATTTAACCAGTTAGCTGTGGCGCCCCCTTTTGAGAGCGCGCACCTATATGTGTCGCGAAAATCGAGCGATGACGAGTATACTCGTCGATCACAGAGTAAGTGTCGCTGTTAAAATATTGGATCAAAAAGATGAGTTTATTTTATAAAATTGACAATTTTATTACTAATATTTACTTATTTGGTTAACATCTATTCTCTTATTGGTTAGTTTTTATGGATATCTATGAATTTTAGCGACCGTCAAAAAATAGCTAGGTAACTTCGGGCCCGCAGCCAGCAATGGGCCCAGCGCCTGGTCAGCGTCACGCATTTGTGCCGTGGCGAACCATCCCTGAAGGAACCCTATCATAAATCAGCTTTCCGACTTTTGCTTTTGCCCCTTTTACGCTGACATCTAAAAAACGTTATCATCGCGCATAAATAAATTCGTTATGCGAACTGATAAGCTGTTTCAGCCGGTGCATACAGGGACGCACGAGTTCATCTCAAATTATTCATATTTTTTATTTGTTTGTTTTATTCCGGCCGGGCCTCAAAATATTCGAAACATCTTGAAATTTGAGAATATGTTTTATTTTTCACAAAAATTACAATTTAAATAGCCAATGATCGCTACTTTTTACGCATGACGAGTATACTTTATTGACGAAGTATTTGCAATATTTGGTTCTTTGTAAAATTCCAATAAAAAATTCGCAGACGTGGAATATTAATTAAATGCTTTTTCGAAACGTGGATTTCAACTTCGAATTCATCGAAATCTGTTGACCAGCCCAGTTGCGAAAGTAATTACAAATGACACACAAATGGCGGCAGTTTCGAAAGTTCAATAACGTTAATTAAACAGGGAACAAGTAGCGCGAGTCAAGCATTTCGCGTACCATATACACGTGCCTGGTAGCACAGTTTAGAGACTAAACAGTGTACGTAACCAATGATAATATCTTAACTCTCAATGGGGACTTGGCTACCATTTAATTAGGTTGAACATGGCGATAGAATTGAAGGGAATATAATTCTACGTTTCGAATCGTGATAAACCGAATTCTGGCTTTAAACGAATTTTTATTATTCGCAAAAATAATTCGAGTATATATATATTATTTCGTAAAATGATTTATCCATAATAAATTGACAATTATTTTCCTCCCCTGAATATTAATATATTTTTCGCAAAATTTAATTATAATTGAAAATCGTCAATTTTATATTTTCCCATAGACGAATTTAATCTACTGAAATTCTACTAAACCATAACGAAGAAATTAAAAATATACTGCATGTTATTTTCCACGTGTAGTACCTGCTATCAAGTATGCATAATTTTGTTGCATTTACATAATGCACGTTAACTTCGGTCTACCAAGATTTTATGAATTCTACACCATTAGATAAGAGGTTTATATATATCTAGACACACATTTCAGTATTATTATATTATAATATATATATAATATCACAATAACTACTAGCCTCGACGCTACTGACAGCATGCACGTATATACACGTTCAAAAGTTTCTTTCTCGACGTGAAATTATAATTCGCTTCCGGTTGCACGCGCTGTACATTCTACGTGAAAAAGCAAGTCGAAAATGTAGAATGAGATTTTTTCATACGCGGCTTTGTTCTCGGGGAAACTGGCTTTAAATATTCAAGGGTTTGCGTGCATTCTGCTATCACCCTCTCCGACAAACGCCACTAGAAATTATTACCTTTGCTCGCTTTTATCTTCGCAAAATTCCCGAGTTAGTACATTATTTCTCGTCAGTGCTGCTGTTATATTCGCAAAATAACTTCGCGAAAATAGCGAAGCGTGTCAACAAAAATTTAAACTTCGTTACCTCGAAGACGAAGCGTCGTATCAGAAAATCTTTTCCCGTCGTTTCCTTTTCACTTGTTCGCGTAGAATCGACTCCTCTCCTTTCGTGCACCGTCAGTTTCCCGTGACAAAGGGGTTAAACGTTGTATATACGTTGTTATACGCGAATAAAGCATTTTCGAATGCGAAGCAAATAGGTATTAACGAGTTTCTGATTATCTCGCAGGTATAATCGCGAGGACGTGGTACGCAGCTTAGGCACAGAGGTGAACGTAAATCCGCCATTAACGTTAGGCCAATTACCCGACACCGAAGACGAGCTTCTGAAGCTGGATCAGGTGTTCATTAAATCCGAGTTGAAAGTTGGCGTGCTGTACGTTCAGGAGGACCAACGTACAGAGGAGGAGATACTGGACAACCACGAGAATTCGCCATTGTTCGACGAGTTCCTTCAGATTCTGGGCGACAAGATTCGTCTGAAGGGTTTCGATAAGTACAAGGGTGGATTGGACACGATTCACGACCTTACCGGGTTGAATTCCGTGTATACTAATTGGCGAGGCATCGAGATCATGTACCACGTGTCCACGTTTCTTCCTAACGAGAAACACGACGTGCAGAGGGTAAAAATATATTTTCTATTGCTTATTGGCGGTTTCGTTGAACCTTTGCTTAAATGAAATTTGCTTCCATTAATTGCAATTCGAGTGTGCAATTTTTTTTTTATTACAAATTATAAGTAAATTCAGTAATTCACTAATTTAGTTTACTCAATTCTAATTAAATTGACTAATTTGTTATAATATTTAATAACAATAAAAATTAACAAACAATATATTTAAAAAATTAGCGAATTTACTAATTTATTATAAAACAAATTTAAGGATTCCTAATGAATTAGTAAATTATTAAAATTTACTAATTTATTGTAAAACAAATTTAAAGATTCCTAATAAATTAGGGAAATTATTTATAATTATATACCTAGAATTATCAGTAAATTTATAATACAACTGTTGCATAATTCATAAAATAAAAGTGGCAAATATACACTAGCCTTCAGAAATTTGGAATCTTGCTTATTGGCGGTTTCGTTGAACCTTTGCTTAAATGAAATGTGCTTCTATTACTTGCAATTCGAGTGTGCAATATTTTTTAATTATATATTATAATATAATATAAATTCGGTAATTCATTAATTTATTATAATATTTAATAGCAAATAGAAATGAGCAAATTGTGCGTTAAAAATATAGTAAATTAGTAAATTTACTAATTTATTGTAATATTTAATAACAATAAAAATTAGCAAACTATATATAAAAAATTAGTAAATTTAGTAATTTATTATAAAACAAATTTAAAGATTCCTAATAAATTAGTAAATTAATGAAGCCTCTATCATAAATCAGTATTATAGTCCAAAAAATTTTCATAAACCACGAATATCAAAAGCGATTCCAAACTTTTGAGGGCTAGTATATATTTGTCATTTTTATTTTATAAATTATGTAACAGCTGTATTATAAATTTACCAACAATTACAGTTATATAATAATATATAAATTTACTAATTTATTATAAAACAAATTTAAAGACTCCTAAGAAATTAGTAAATTCATATATAATTATATAACTATAAGTACCAATAAATTTATAATACAACTATTACTTATTTTATAATTTATAAAATAAAAATGACAAATATACACTAGCCTTCAAAAGATTGAAATCGCTTTTGATACTCGAGGTTTATGAAAATTTTCCAGACTATAATACTGATTTAAAATAAAGACTTTTATTGCTACATATGCCAAAAATTGAATATCAAAACAAGGAGTATCGAGTAATAATAAATTTATCGAAGTAATTCTTATACTGAAAGATTCGTGCTTTTTCAGGTGCAAAAAAAACGACACATCGGTAACGACATAGTGTGCGTGGTGTTTTTGGAAGCAGATAATACTGCGTTTAATCCAGCTTGCATGAAGTCACATTTTCTCTACACGTTCATCCTGGTTCGAGTCAGTCCACGAATAAAGAGGAAGGTTACCAGATACGAAGTGTCCGTTGCCACGAGGGACGAGGTTGGAGCTTACAAGCCCTATCTTTGGGAACAAAATGTCTTTAAAAAGGGTAATTATCGGATAAAGGATAATTACACAAATTTATAAGAGACGTCTACCAATGACTAAAACTATCAAATATAATATATTTAATCTATTTAATCTATTTAATAATAATATAAATTATTGTAACATATTATAATATTAATGGAGGATCGGTTTGGGTGGATTGGCTAAAATAGCGCTGTTTCACTTCTTAATAAAATACAATAAGCTTATACGTAGACTGATGGCTATGAAACAAGAGAGATTCGCTATTGGCACGTTTGACTTTGACTTCTTACTCGCATACTAACACGCTATTAGCAACTTCCTAAAGACTTGGAGACCGTGAAGGACTGTTAAAAGACTGGCGACTTTAGACCGTAGGCCGTGGAGATTAGAGCTGCCCGCGCCCTTACTCCCTTATTTAAAGCATTCATTCTCCCTTTTCCATTTCCAGGCTTTCCTTTCCGATCATGCCCCTTTCCCACGCAACCTCGGTGGGTCAGGTACTTCAATCACTCTGGACGCATCCCTAAACTTTCGCTCGACCCTACCATAAACATCCTTTGCAGTTAATTCGCTTGCACGCGGTCATTTCCATCCTAAACCCAAACACAATTGGCATTCTTTCAGGGCCGTACTTATTCCAATCCCACATTAATATAATATTGTTTATCATAACCTTTTGCTCCAATGTACAAATTTTTAGAATATCATTAGAAAAATATTTTTATTGTTTCGTGTCACTGTAATTACGATATTGAAGTAATATTTAACACTAGAACTACTAACCCAGTGAAAATGACTGGTCCCAGAATTTCCCTTTTTGCAATCACCGAGCACATACTTTAAATACCGAACACTGCTTTAAGAATAAAATTGGTATCAACTGATATTAAGAAAGAACTGTAATCAATATATTCACTCATATTCATCGTACCGCTGAAATTACTATAATCTGTGCACGTTATAGTTAGGTACCCATTAAGTGTTACTCTGAAAAAGCACAAGCTTTATACTGCAACAAATTTATATTAATTCCATATAATTTAAATTTCTCCGATACCGTGGGTGTTAAAAGAGTTTAATTTAACGATTCCTTGATCAACAGGTCCCATGTTTCGCGAGTGGTTACTGACGAAGATCGTGAACGGAGAGAGAGCCAGCTATTCTGCGCCAAAATTCGCTAAGATGCAAGAGAGAACGAGGACGCAGATGCTGGAAGACATCGTGGCTAATCTGACCAACCACGCGGAGACTGGACAAATTCCAAAACCATACAGGTGAAGCGTCGAATATAAAAATCGCGGAAAATTCGATGAAACTGTCAATCACGATGATGAATTTTCTATTTGTTTTAAATTCGCGTTGAAACGATGTGCGAATCGATGAAAATGGGATTTGTTTCTTCAGACGAGGCTCTTGGAGGCCGATTGGCCATATGAGACCATCTTCGCCGCTCTTGGACTCGGTCAGGGATGAATTCGAGGACCTTGATCAACTCGCCAAGGACTTCACCAAAGTATTCTTGAATAATCAGGAAGAGAGCACGTTGAACACGAGTCTGTTCGACGTTTCTTTCTTGGTACACGGTCCACAGAAGCAGAAAGTTAGATTCTTCGGTGTTAGGGCAATCTTGGCTGTCAGAAGCAGGTGATTCATCAGAAGACTGGTTTATGTTTGATTTAAGTGACTTAGAACCAGTTCATGTTAATTTTGAAGAGATATTCGACGAGTAATGGAATATGGATAATTTTCTATGATTTTGGAAAAAGAAACGATATTCCATTCCCTTGTTTTATGCAAGAAAATTATTTTAGTATTTATTTTAATATATTTAATTTATGGGATAGAACTATCCTATTATCTCTATTTTAATTTATTAATTTTATTATCACAATCTGCGATAGAGTATTATTTTAATATTTATTTTTATTAATTTATAATGTTTCAGTATTTTCTATCTGTACTAGAAATTTATTTTACTACGTTTAATTTATGGGATAGAATTATTCTACCATCCCCTTTTATGATTAATTAATTTCCTTATCGCAATTTATAACATAGAATTTTGTAATGTTAATTTTATTATTTGCAATTTATGGAACAAAATTACTTCAATGCATATTTTTATTAATTTACAGTATTTGAGTATTTTTGAGATGTATTTTACTGCATTTAATTTATTGGACAGAACTATCCTACTATCCCTATTTTGATTTATTAATTTTATTATCACAATCTATGACAGAGAATTATTTTAATATTTATTTTTATTAATTTATACTTCAGTATTTTTAATCTGTACAAGAAATTTATTTTACTACGTTTAATTTATGAGATAGAATTATTCTACTATCCCCTTTTATGATTAATTAATTTCTCTATCCCAATCCGTAACATAGAATTTTCTACTATTAATTTTATTATTTTCAATGTACAGAACAGAATTAATTCAATGGATATATTTACTAATTTACAATATTTTGGTATTTTTGACCCGTACAAAAGATCTATTTTATTTTATTATTTATTTTACTGTGGTTAATTCATGCAATAGAATTATGAAAAATCATTTCATACATCAAATGATGATAAATGTTTGACGAATACAAAATTGAATTTCGGGCAAATGACGTTAAGAAACTTGTTAGAAAGATGTCTGACTCATAAAATTTTGTAGAGTATTTCAAGAGATGCTGTACGGAATTCAGGCAGGATTCGGAAGTCCACAGGCACCAGTCGCTGAGTTACTCGCCAGACCAGTGCCCGCATTGAGCCCTCAGAAACCACGAAGCTCCAACTTCCTTCAAGTACCTGACGTGGAGAGTCCAAGGTTTGTATCTCGCAAATTACTTCTGTTAATCAGGATTATGCATTTTTATCTTCAAAAGTCCAGTTTATATTCGATGCAGAAATGAAATCACATAGATTCGCTTATTTAAATAATATTGAAATACGTCTCGTACAATGTATTAACCCATTTTCATTCAATTACTTAGAGAATCTTCCTCTCTGATGTACTATAGATATCGTCCTATTCATAAAATGATGAATTTATAATCGTCATCTTTCCATTTTTTCCCTAGATTTATTTAATCAAGATCAATTTTGTAGTAATTTTATTATGCAATTGAGAATTAAATAATTTATATTTAGCAATTAAGAATTTTTATTATATTTTTATTTTTCTGAGAATAAAAATATATTACTATTACTATTGGTACGAAAAACTTTCATTTTCAAGATCCTTTTTGCAGTAATTTTATTATGCAATTGGAAATTAAATAATTTATACTTAGTAATTAAGAATTTTTACTACATTTTTATTTCTCTAAGAATAAAAGTGTAAAAATTATTCTTGTAATTGGAAATTAAATAAATTGTATTTAGCAATTAAAAATTTTTATTATATTTATATTTTTCTAAGAATGAAAGTGTAAAAGTTACTATTGGTACGAAAAACTTTGATTTTCAAAATCCCTTTTGCAGTAATTTTATTATGCAATTGAGAATTAAATAATATATATTTAATAATTAAGAATTTTTACTATATTTTTATTTTTCTAAGAATAAGATTATAAAAATTATTATTGATACGAAAAAATTTGATTTTTCATTTTAATTCGTCGTGCAATAATTGCAGAAAAATGGGTTAATATAAACGAAATAAAATTGCGAGTGAAAGATATAACTGGATTTATTTGGCAATTAAAAAAAAGATTGAACTTGCCTTTGGTGTCGTTGTCGAATGTATATTATATACATATTTATATATCATATATATATTTAATATATATATTAATTTAATCGTAATTATGTGTATTTTTACGGCACTTCCATGTCTCCTATCCTCACACACACATAGACATACAGAACACGGTATACACACAGCACCGCATGCGATTATAAGTATATCTCACTTTGACAAAGATTTCTACCGTATAAGTCGAGTGGTAATTTGTGATGCAACATAGTTTGAAGTCCGGTGTCTTATTCACTATTTTCTTGTTTCTTGAATGACTACTTGTGTAGCATGTTTTACTATAACGAAATTTACAAATTAAAAGAGAAGCACTGCAAGAGTAATTCGAAGTATCACACTATAAGCCAAGCTAATTGAAGATCGTGTCGAATTTTATATATATCCTTTTATTTTCTCCTTCGTTTCCTTTCGTTACTGCTGGAGGTGGTTTCGAAGCTGATTTTTCAATTCTCGAAACTCGAATTTACAAGATTTCGAAATTCTCTAGTGAATTTTTATCCAGTTTGCAAAAAATTAAAAATATTTATTTTTGAATATTAAATCAGTAGTATGGAACGAGGAAATTGATGAAAAATTGCTATGCAATATTAAATATACATATATACTGATATCGTGCTCAATTTATTTTATTAAAATAAAATAATTTATATGAATTAAATATTTATTGAAATAACTTTGTTCTTTTGAGATTTTTGGGTCTCCACAGGTATAAATACACCCTTATTTCGAATTTCCAAGATTTCGAAATTCTCAAAATTTTCGAAACAGGGTATGTAATTATAAGTAACAATAAATTTTACTAATCTTAATACTATATAGAGTAGCTTCATTACGAGTTTGCAAGTGAATTTCTATCCAGTTTGCAGGAAATTAAAGATATTTATTTTTGAATATTAAATTCATAGTATGGAACAAGGAAATTTATGAAAAATTGCTATCCAGGATTAAATATACGTATATACTGATATCGTGTTAAATTTATTTTATTAAAATATAATAATTTATATAAATTAAAAATAAATTTATATAAGCTTGATTTATCGAAATAACTGTGTTCCTTCGAGATTTTTGGATCTCCAAAAACACACCCCTGTTTCGAATTTCGAAATTCACAAAATTCGAAACATAGCTTTGATTTTGTCACATCTCAAAATAATTTTTGCACGTATTTTTACTAACCATAGCTAAACAAAACACGAATAGAAAAATATCTGAACACAAAAGTAGTTAATTTAGATTTTTATTTCAAAATAAATACTAACATTCAAACTTTCTTCTATATTTTCACTTTCACTATTTTTAATACGCATTTCAAAAATTTTCAGTCGCAAAAGAGGAGTGTAACACTTGAAACACGAGTGTTATCATTCCTCACTATAGTTTCAAAAAACGCAAAGCAAAATATCTAATCCAGATTCTTGCTCTAATCTCCCTAATCTAATCTATCAATCTCTTTAAATATAACTATTAAAAATTAAAAAAACACGTCTTTCAAAGAATCGATTCTTTTTCCCATTAATCTCTCATCTATCGCTTCGTTCGAGTTTCGAGATCATGCAATGAGCAAGAAAAAAAAAAAAAGAGGAATTCGAAATTTTTATTCGAAGAAACCCACCTCTACCTTTCTCTCCTTTCACTTCTTTCTTCCTCTGTTCACACGGCTGCCACTCTGTATGCCTTCTGCCGAATTCTCGGTCCTCACCTAATTCTTTATTCACCGAATCTGGTTATCGGCATGCAGTGATCTCGACCAACACGTGTTCGTGACGAATCCTCGGAGTGATCGTGATCGTAAGCTCTTGGTACCCTGTGTTTGTTCGGTTTATCTATATCGCATCGAACGTGGCAAATTTTTGCGAGCGAAGAAAGACGAGCTTTCGTCGTTGTCTCGTATTGTTTTTATTATTCTATTATTCGATTCTATCGGAACGTCTACTTGAACCCGTGTCACCCTCTGGTAACCTCCCGCCCCTGATACTCCGGCCGAACCGAGGTCCCGTGTTCCGCTATTCCGGTCGAAGATTCTTCTTCCACGAAGAATTTCCCCTCCATACCCCGAGGTGCCGCTCTGCGGTTTCTGTGAGATACTGGCTCTGACTTGTTTAGACCTAAAAGCGTGCCCTCGTCGCCGATGATGAAGCGGGCGTTCTCGAGGCTTAGCACGATCACCACAGGCTGGGGCAGGAGCATAAAGAAGCACGGCAATGGGAACACCTTGCAGACCGAGGACAAGAAACGTTGGGCCAGCTCACAGGATTGCAGCAGTACGTATCGAAGCTATGTACGGGGTGTGATAGAGTCTATGGGATGGTTCTTCGATTATTGAATTGTGAGCGAATTTATAGGGTGGGAGAGATTAGAAATATGGGTATTTTTGGTATACTGTTGGAAAATTTATAAATTTTAGATTGGAAATTTTGGTATCGTATTCGTTGCGTCACGAACAGTGCAATTCTCACGTTGGGAGTTTCACAGGGTTGTAAGGCCCGTTTAGGCGGATGCGACCACGTTGCTGGGATACGGCCTTCTTTAACCCCTTGACTACTGTGGGGGTCTATGGGCGCTTAGAAATTTTGCGTTTGTGACACGAAAGATGTCTATAGGCGCTTAAAAATTTTGCGTTTGTGACACGGAGAGCGCCTATGGGTGCTTAGAAATTTTGCGATTGTGACATGGAGGGCGCCCATGGGCGCCTAAAAATTTTGCGTTCGTGACGCGAAGGATACCTACAGGCGTTTAGAAATTTTGCGTTTGTGACACGAAGGATGCCTATGGATACTTAGAAATTTTGCGTTTGTGACACGAAGGATGCCTATGGATGCTTAGAAATTTTGCGTTTGTGACACGGAGAGCGCCTATGGGTGCTTAGAAATTTTGCGATTGTGACATGGAGGACGCCTATGGGCACCTAGAAATTTTGCGTTTGTGACACAGGGAGCGCCTATAGGCGCTCTGCGTAGTTTAGCTTTCTGACACGGAGGACGCTTGTTTTCACAGAAATGGCGCACATCGTATCTCAATTCTTGCCGTATGGTATAGCCGCTACGTATCAAAATCTGTCGTAGTCAAGAGGTTAAATTACCCTTTGTGGGTGATAGTCGTATATAGGCAGGAACTATCAGTGTGGCCAAAGAACTCAGATATGTGTTAGATGAAAACAACTGCTGGGGCCGAGGGACTCATAAATGTTGCTATGGCTGAAAAACGCATATATGCGTCCGCAGTCGCACATCATAACTACTTAGTTCACACCTAACCAGGTCTAGTTCTATTAACCAGTTAGCTGTGCTTGACGAGTACACTCGTCATGGACAAGTGGCAGGATGTTGTGTCACGACGAGTATACTCGTCATGCGTAAAAAGTAGCGACCATTGGCTATTTGAATTGTAATTTTTGTGAAAAATAAAAAGTATTCTCAAATTTTAAGATGTTAAAATATTTTGAGGCCGGGCTGAAATAAAACAAACAAATAAAAAATATGAATAATTTGAGATGAACTCGTGCGTCCCTGTATGCACCGGCTAAAACAGCTTATCAGTTCGCATAACGAATTTATTTATGCGCGATGATAACGTTTTTTAGATGTCAGCGTAAAAGGGGCAAAAGCAAAAGTCGGAAAGCTGATTTATGATAGGGTTCCTTCAGGGATGGTTCGCCATGGGACAAATGCGTGACGCTGACCAGGCGCTGAGCCCATTGATGGCTGCTGGCCCGAAGTTACCTAGCTATTTTTTGACGGTCGCTAAAATTCATAGATATCCATAAAAACTAACCAATAAGAGAATAGATGTTAACCAAATAAGTAAATATTAGTAATAAAATTGTCAATTTTATAAAATAAACTCATCTTTTTGATCCAATATTTTAACAGCGATACTTACTCTGTGATCGACGAGTATACTCGTCATCGCTCGATTTTCGTGATGCATATAGGTGCGCACTGCCAAAAGGGGGCTCCACAGCTAACTGGTTAAATGCGATTTTCGGTTATAGCGATGCTGGCGATAAGTACAGGAAACAGTGCTCCACTTAATTTGGAATGTTCGGTCCTGGGGCAGTGACAGTATTCTAGTGGCTTTACAGTGGTACTAGTGACCAGTAATGAGTAGTTCAATGCCCCATGGTAATTGACGTTTAATATATAATAATTCCTAAGTGGAAGATGACTGGGCAAATCGTGTTCCAGTGACTGGTACTAGTGACCTATAATGAGTAGTTAAATATACAGGGTGCCCCACAGTAAGCGTAGTTTAATATATAACCCCTAAGTAGAAGATGAGTGGGCAAAAATGTACAGATTGCACTGTGGCTTACTATATTTAATCTCTTATGGTTATTCCAAGGTCTTTAAGCGATTTTTCGAAAGGATAATGTTCATTAATTCTGTGCAATTTCGAATTTTAGACAAAGAGGCGAAAGAAAAGGAGAAAGCTGCTCAACAGTTACCGGTGCCAAGACTCAGCGTGTGCGCGGATGCGCAGAAGGTTGACAGGGCAAAGTTGGCGCAGACAGAGGTAAATGTATGCATACTCTCGTGCATTCAGTCACGTTTCATTGTTGATACTGCGACACGTGTTACATATGTTTATTCCTATTTACATGAAATTTAATAGAAATTATTCTGTGTAAATAATACATTTCAAAAAATCACTATTTTATTATTAAACTAAAAAAATATTATTTTCCTGCCTGTTTAAATATTTAATAATGTTTGACGAGTATACTCGCCTGGAGAATTAATTTCCGACTAACCCTGAGTACCTGTCACGTGAGAAAATGAAACATCGTTCATTACAAAAATTGAGATTAGTATAATAAATGTTTTTTATTTCCTACTTTCTTTAATTACGAATTTCGTATTAATAAATTTTGGAATGATAAAATTATTCTTAGTAGTGTTTATCGCTTTGTTATAATTCGTTTAAATGTCTTACAGATAGACATTTCCAAAAACGAAAAATCTTTATTCTCTATATTATCCCCATATAATTCTTATCTTTTTTTAAATACACACTACTGTGATATGAACATTGCACACACTTAACTAAAAAAGAAAAGCTATTAAATTTAAAAATAGAAGCACTCGCGAGATAGAGAACGATACACCCAGTCACACCCATTTTGTTTCAATTCGATATCTCAATCCACTCCCGAGATATCGCGTGTGATATAGCGTCTCGGAAAACTGAATGGCGATTGGAATTCTTAGAAACGTCGTGACCCACTTATTTTCCTAGAATCGCGTACGTCGCGCGTAGTAATAGTAAAAAAAAACGCTGACTCAGCGGCCGGCACTGACCACTGACACGTGACGCACGTGGAGTAGGTCATCACGTGCGAGCGAGCGAGGACCGACTGTGCGAGCGAGAGGTCCGAGTGTGCGAGCGAGAGATCCGACTGAGCGAGCGAGACAGCGAGAACGAAATACTCGAAATTCCACTCACGCTTAAATTTGAATATCTCCGAAACTAAAAGAGGTATCGAAGTGAAACAAACGCCATTTTAAACTATAAAATCCCCTGCTTCTGTAGGTATAAATTATAATTCTCTGTTGGTACATACAGCCATGTTACGCGATGATAATTTGGAGAGGTTATTCCTATTCTAATTCGATACTCGTATCGACATTAATTTTTGATATTATTATTACACCGTTAATTACCTTAATAGCGATAAAATTGGTATGTGTAATGTATATATTTCCCAATTCCTCCTTGATAAATTGTAACGTGTAAAGTTTATGCACAAGAAATTGTAGTACCAATTAACTATAATTCAAATTCGTGTCAAAAACGAAATAAAAAATGGTAGAAAATTATTTTCCTGTCTCGAAAATAATAAAATTATTAATAAGAAATATTTTCAAAAGCATTTGCAATTCTCTCTACATAAAAATCATCATACATATACATGTACCAATAATTTTCTTTCTACTCACTATTTTCCTTTGTCACGCAGTTCGACATCATCGAGTTCGACCCGATGACATTCAAGATCCTGCTGATCTACCTGCAGACAGGCTCCTGTCGTCTGACGTGCAGCAACATACCAGGCCTGATCTGCGCCGCGGAGCACTACGATCTGCCGGATCTTTTGCAGGCGTGCTTCCGCCATGCGAAGCAGTACCTGCGCGTCGAGATCGTGTGCGTGATGCTGTCCGCGTTGGAGAACTATTGCTGGCGTTACACGTCCGCCTCGGAGCTGGTCAACATGATCCTGGCGTTCATCGAGACCAGAGCCTGCCAGCTGTTCCGGAATCCTGATTTTCTCAGACTGAGCGAGTCGATGGTCCAGATGATCATGTGCAGAAGTCTCGAAGTGGGCGAGATTAGGAAGTTCGAGGCGATGATGGAATGGGCGAATAATAGAATCAAAGATAGAAAGTCGACCAAGGTGGACCCGGAGGTCGAGTTCAAGTGTATCATGGAGAGGCTCAGCAAAGACCTGAAGCTGCACAAGATAACGCCTCAGGAACTTATCAGGGTGAGAGAAAACAGGAATCCATCGATTTTATTTATAGTTCGATTTTTAAAACGATTTTTAACTCTTTCACAGTGTGATAAAATTACGAATTCAGGTCAGAAACATGTCCAGTGTTTTGATGTTCGAAAACACTTCAGTGTGTAATAGAAAATGTTAAAAAAGAGGTTTTATATGTAACTTGCTAGTTATCTAGTTAGTTCGTGTAGAGTACTTGACGCTCTGCTTGTGACTGATGCAGGATAAACTGTTAATGGGTTAAACTAGTGTAGGATGCTATTTCGTGGAAAGAAATCGCGAATTGGCCAATGTCGATTTTTATTTCGGAAAAATAAATTATAAAGCGGTCAATGACCTATACATCGTATTATACGATGCCGATTTTTATTTCGTGAAAATAAATTATAAACTACGCAGCGTATTATACGATGCCGATTTTTATTTCGGAAAAATAAATTATAAACTATGCATCGTATTATACGATGCCGATTTTTATTTCGTGAAAATAAATTATAAACTACGCAGCGTATTATACGATGCCGATTTTTATTTCGGAAAAATAAATTATAAACTATGCATCGTACTATACGATGTCGGTTTTTATTTCAGAAAAATAAATTATAAAGCGGTCAATGACCTATGCATCGTATTATGCAATACCGATTTTTATTTCAGAAAAATAAATTATAAACCGGTCAGTGACTTATGCATCGTATTATACGATACCGATTTTTATTTCAGAAAAATAAATTATATACCGGTCAGTGACTTATGCATCGTATTATACGATGCCGATTTTTATTTCGGGAAAATAAATTATAAACTATGCATCGTATTATACGATACCGATTTTTATTTCAGAAAACTAAATTATAAACCGGTCAGTGACTTATGCATCGTATTATACGATGCCGATTTTTATTTCGGGACAATAAATTATAAACTGTGTATCGTATTATACAATGCCGATTTTTATTTCGGGAAAATAAATTATAAACTATGTATCGTATTATACGATGCCGATTTTTATTTTGGAAAAATAGATTATAAACTATGCATCGTATTATTCGATGCCGATTTTTATTTCGGAAAAATAAATTATAAATTATGCATCGTATTATTCGATACCGAGTTTTATTTCGTGAAAATAAATTATAAACTATGCATCGTATTATACGATGCCGATTTTTATTTCGGAAAAAGAAATTACAAATCGGTCAATGACCTATGCATAGTATTATTCAATGCCGATTTTTATTTCAGAAAAATAAATTATGAATCGTATCAATCGTATGATACCGTATCAATTATTATAACAGAAATTCCCAAACGTTAGGTCCAAAGATGGCGAAGAATTTAACACCAAAAGTTAGCACCTTTTGGTCCTAGTCTGGGCCCGAACGGAAAGCCTAGCGCCGTCCCTGGGGACCTAACGTGTCAATTAACGTGTTAACTAATAAACAAAACTAATTTTCCGACGTATCTTCCAGATCGTGCTGCCATCAAAGGCGATCAAAAACGAGAGGATCCTCGAAACACTGGTATACCAGGCGAACTCAGGGATCTACAGGAACGTTGACAGCTACTTGGAGGCTTATCAAAAGAAAGTGCAGAACCAGGAGAGTTTCGACTGCGGCTTGTAAGGAACTATCGTGCGTAGTGTACCATTACAAGCAGCTCTTACTTTCACCCTTATAAGCACGGATGAAACGCGTACCTGAGCAGAGTTGACTACAAGTTCGCCAGCACAAATAAGGGTGATCTTAACCAACAAAGGGAATACTTCATTCAGGAATTCATTGTCGATGATAACCACCTTAATCCAAACTTCACGACGATGATCACGCCAAGATCTCTGACACTGTTGTCAACTGTAGACACTGTCAACTATAGATCCGCATGATTGATAGACAGATTGCTAGAAATTGGATGAAACTGAATCCAAGACGAGACAAACCACAGACTTGAGAACTCTTTAAAGGAAGGAATAAATTTATTTTTCTCAAAAATATGGGCGAGAAGAATAGTACGACTCGCTGAACACGAGGAGCTCGAGGCAGGAAAGGAGATGAAGAAGATCTCGTTGACTGAAGGAGAAAATGGAGTCTGAAATGACGCGAAGCAAGCAAACTGCACAAATTTCATATAGTTAAACGAGAGAAAGAAGAGAAACGATGGAACGACGTTGAAAGTAACACAGCCAACGGCACAAATTGCCATTTTTGTCAAACCGAGGGAAAATAGAAAAAGGATACAATTTTTCGAACGAACAGCCCCCGGGGTTCGTGGGGAACGCGTAGAAATTCAACGGCATCGCGACGCCGACCATGACAATCTGTATCATAAAAAAAGAAAATCGCAAACGAAAAATGAAAAAAAAAAAAGAAAAAAAGTATCGAGAAAGGGGAAAATACCGATAATACGATATAACGATTAACTACTTGGTAAGCTCGAGTGAATTTCATTGTATGTATACGTACATAAACCTGTGTGTGTATATATGTACGTACAAGAGTGACGCTAATGGTAACAATAAATACTAATAAATAACGTTAAGAGGAATAATAATAGTATTAATATACAAGAAACCAAAAAAAATACAACGTTGATGTTGAGTGTGAAATTTAAACGAAGACGAAGCATAAAGACGAAGCTGAAACCAAAAAAGAGAAAAAAAAAAAATATGAAGAAAACGAAAAAAAAAAAAAAAAATAAGATATTCGAAGTCTGTTCTGTTTTCTATCGTAGTTTTTGTATCTTCAAATACTCTAAGGCAGATATTCTAAAATTCACGGGAACAGGCTGGTCACGTATACAAGGATAAATACATATACGAGAATTAAAAAGAAATATTAAGAAAAATAAAAAGAGAGGAGATCTCTGGTTTTTTAAATCATCACGCATCAATCGAGAATAGCGACGAGAAAAGGAAGCATCCGTGTCGCTGTTAACCATTCACGTATATTCATAGACCGTGATACGAATCGGTACATTTACTCACTTGGAAATCTCACACACACACACACACACACACACGTACACTGCGTGACACGTTAAAAGGAACTCTTCTTTCGCAAAACGATCGTTCGATAATTTAGCCTAGCCTGGTTCCCGAGTTTCATTGACTGCATTTTCACCGGTGAAACGCGTAAAGACGAGTAAAGGAGCAACACACACACACGCATACACATACACACACACGAACACGAAAGAAGAAATATATATATATATATATGTACGAAACGAAGAAACAAAGGCGTGATTTCGAGAAGCACGCTGAAGAGGCTGATTTTCGTCCCCCTGACTCTGTCCCCGTTTCGCTTTCGCTCTCGCTTCTCGATCGTCCTCGGCGCAACTCCTCTCGTAGGTTCCAAGAATATAAAGAGATATTTTTTACACGATCACGACGCATTTCCGGTCCCTCCCTCGCGTGTTATTCTGTTTGTTACACACGCAAGAAACGGAGACACGATTGTTCAAAGAAACCGGGCAGAGAGAGAAGAGAAAGGTAGCAAAGGTGAAGGGGAAAATCACTCGTCGATTCCCGAATTTAGGGGATCGTCCAACTGTTAAGTGTCTTATTGTTCAGGCAAGCGGCTGGACGAAAGTAGATCCTTCTTTTCGCGCGCGAAACCAAAACACTGAGACTATCTTCGTGACGTTGCGGCCACGTCGAATGATTCCGTGAATTGGAAAGTCTGAATGATTGGTCACCACTTTCGCTGCCACGTTGGCCATATAACCGGTCAGGGTGGTCATATAACCGGCCACAGTGGCCATATAACCGGTCATGGTAGCCATATATCCGGTCACGGTTTCTCCCGCGACGCCACGGTGGTCGTATAACCGGTCACGGTTTCTCCCGCGGCGGCACGGTGGTCATATAACCGGTCGCGGTTTCTCCGGTGACACCGCGATGGCCATATAACCGGTTACGGTTTCTCCGGTGGCGCCACGATGGCCATATAACCGGTCGCGGTTTCTCCCGTGACGCCACGGTGGTCATTTGTTGACCGGAGCGTTTAAGCTACTTCCGATTGTGAAAGTTGAATGAAAATTGACAGTTAGTAGACTGTCAACCGTTACCACGGTGGTCATACGTGACTATCAATGAGATAAACGCTCCGTTGGGTAAGAATGTTGTGTTATATCACCGATTTGTTATTATTTTGCCATTATATGCTTTGAAGAATGAAAATAGTAAAATGGCGTCCTGAGCGGAACACGTGACTCCGGCGTGGCAGTGAAAGGGTCAGAGAGTTGGAGTTTTGAGCGGGAGCACGTGGTAGAGAAGAGGGCCCTTTGTAATATTTTTACAGAATAGTAGAGAATACAGAGAGGTACAAATACACGTGACGTGCAGTGTACGAGCTGAGTCGCGAGATACTGGAGAGTGAGAGAGAGTGAGAGAGAGAGAGAGAGAGTTAATAATTAAAATAAGCTAACTAAATATGCAACCGTATGTGTAGCTGTAAAACAAGCTAAAAGAAGAAAAGAAAAAAAGAAAAAAAAAAGTATTATATATATACATATAACAACACGTGTCGTTGTAAACGTGAACGTTTGTAAAGAAATCGTGTCGAATGTGGACGATGATCTGCCGCCATTTTTCCCGCGTGCACGTTCCGATCTTCGTTAGTAATCTCGATCTGAGTAAGAATCCACCGTTTCATCAACATTATTTACTCTTTCCGACAATCGCGAGCAAACATTGATTTTATAAAATTCAAATTAAATCCTGCAATTTCTAATTCTAAGTTTATTCGCTTACTCACTAAAAGGACTACTTGTTATTTTTACAACTGCCAACTACTAACTTGTACCTGCTTTTGGTGAAATTAACGTTGACTCATATCGAAATAGAAATAGTTCAATATTATTATAATATATAATATATAATATAATTATTATCATTATTAATATATTATTATAATATTATAATTCGAGATAGTTCAATACACTTGTTTATTTTGATAGGTAATTCCGGTATGAATTTAGCAAATTAATGTAACAAGAATTACATTATAAAATTTTTAATTTAACCCTTTAGGGATGAATACCGCAATATACATGGAAATTGTTTTATTTTTTCGAAATGAAAGCCACTCGAATTACAGCGAAATAATTATTTTAACATTTTCAACATCGCTGTTAATATTCTGTTAATATTAAGAAGCTTCGCTTCGATGTAATATTTTTAATCGTTTATTACATACTCTGTGCATCGTTATCTTTATCTCTCGTCGGCAAAGGGTTAAGGAAAACCGAATTATCGTACGGATAATTTAATGATTTAACAAATTCGCAACGAAAGATCGTGCTGTAATTGTCACTCCAGCGATGATCTGCAACGACGTGGCACCACGTGGTTCTTCGTTTGCCAAATAAATGTCCCACTACGTGTCGCTATGAATGAATAAACTGTATGTACAATAACCTAGCGTAAACCCGTGGAAAGTTGCGTGACACATGCTTAATCCGAGGTCGATAATCAGTCGCTGGTCGATACACGTGAATCACTGTACACGAGTCGCTGGTCGATGCAATCGAAACGCTGCCTGTCCTTCCATATTCGAGAGAAATTCCACACCTCGTTACTCACAGCTCGTTGTTCGCCACGTGGGCCTGCGTAATTAGTAGATCATCGCTGATAAAACGGAAGAGTAATGGATAGATCGGTGATCCCGGGGCGGCACGATCAACGTCCACGACTCTAAACGTCGCTATGCTCTCACGTTGTCGTTCATCTTCGTAAGTGCGAACAATAGCAGATTTTCCGCGACAAGTCGTGTCCACGATGAGATGAAATACGAAATTTTTTGAAAGAAGAGAAAGGGGAGATCGTGGACCTCGCGTAGCTCGAAATTCTGCTAACTCAGTGTGTAAGCGTAGATGTTTTAGTGTGTGGTCGAAGTGTAATCGATTGATCGCAGTGTGCCGATTTATTAAAGCACTGCGTCTGGTGCTTCTTCGAACACCAGAGTTCATTCGTCGTTACGTGGTGCGAATTTCGAGGCGTAATCCAGTACAAATTCGCCCAATTTTCATATTTTTCCACGATTTGGTAACGAACATAAGTCATTTCATATGAAGAACACGTATCTGAATTTCTAATTCTTAATTATATAAATATTTTATATTATTTTATAAGTTTTTATATTATATTATAATCGTTTTAAGTTTTAATAATTATGAATTAAGAGTTACGTTAAAATCGACTAATTTTATTATAATTGAAGAGCAATTATTTTTATTGACATGTTGATAAATGCATGTCATTTCGAATTCTGCTCTGAACAGATTTCATCACTCTTAATACTTTGATTGTCATGTACTTTTTATATAGTATACTCAGAGGGCCACAATAAAATTTCCATTATTCTTAGAATATAATGACGAATTATTAAACAATAAAGGGAAAAAAGAATGATGCAAATTATTAATATTTGCTATTCGAAATTTTCAATTTATTTGTTTTGCGTTGTTCAAATATTCAAAAATTGGTTGGAATAAAACAAATATAAATTTTAAAAATTAGTATCGCTGGATATTGGTGACCACCATGGCTCCATGGCTGAGGAGACCAGCACCGGTCATTGATGACCACCATGACAGCCAACATATTAACGACAGAAATTTGCAACCGTTCTATATTTCTTTATTTTAAATAATTTTTTATATCCTAAGATAGTTTAACATGTTGACTGCTATGGTGGTCATCAGTGACCACTGCTTGCCTCCTGAATGGGAGAACCATGGTGGTCCCGGTGTGCAATGATACTAATTTTTTAAATTTATATTTACATTTAATTTAAAACAATTTATATCTAACCAATTTTTGAATATTTTAACAACGCAACTAAATAGAGAATTTAGAATAGAATTTTAAAAATTTGCACCATTTTTGTTTCACCATATTGTTTAATTATTCATTATTGTTATTAAAGAATAATGGCCCCCATATAATAGTGTACCATATAAAAAGTGCGTGACAGTCAAAATGTAAAATAATTTTACGAATTTTTTAATATCCCAAAATTGAAAAATTATTGAATTATTTGAAATTTCCAAAATTTCAGATCACAAAAATTTTGATAAATCCACCCCTATCAAAAATGTTCAGAACATAATAATTACTATCTTTACACTCATTGAGCTATGCTAAATTATTCGATTTTCCAAATTTCAGATCACAAAAATTTTGATAAATTTAGCTTCATCAGAAATTTTCAGAATATAATTATTTTCTTTGCTTCTTTCTTTCATTGGGCTATGCTAAATTATTCGATTTCCTAAATAGTTCACATTCCCTAGACTTTCTCAAAGTCTGCACTGAGATTACGCCTCTGCATGCCACGTCATCTGCGATCCGACATGATGTACAAAGCGAATTCTTTTTCCACGCTCGATGACAGTCCAGTTGCGTTGTTCCGCGAGACAGAGAGAAACAGCAAAAAGAGAGAAAGAGCGAGGTTAAAATAATAAATGAACAAAAGCGGAAAGGAAACAGCTCGAACCTCGATAGACGAAGGAACTGAATAGCCAAAGCATGAAAGAGAGAAGAAAACAAAAGTAATTTCATCGAAAGCGATTCTGTCCAGCCATTGCCGACTATTGTTCAACTGTAAATGTACACATACAAAAGGAATGAAAAAGAGAGAAAGAGAGATACAGAGATACGAAGAAACACAGAGAGAAACCATAAGTATGAATGAGACTATATATATATTCGTATATAAATATATATAATATATATATACATATATTACATACACACACGCGCACACGTAACACGTACACACACATGCACGACTAATGCAACACAGAGACGAGGATTATCGTGTCAAAGATACCGCCACGTGGCCGGATTGCGGCGAGTATCGAATGTGCCGCGTTTTGAATTCCGTTCACATGGAATTCCACTCGTGAACCACGCAAGAGGGTTGTGTTTGCAACGATACGCGAACGCTTATGGTGTACCCCTGCGCGAGAACCACGCGATAGGGGCTGCATGCCGCGGTACCGGGCTTCTCTTAACCCTTTTGCACTCGATGGCTTCGTTCGCGTCGAAATCACGATGCAAGAATATTTTTCATCCTATACATATCAATGTCCTAGTATTTTCGTACACCCTCCCTTGGGTTTGCTTCAATTACACGCGAGATAGGGGTGGAAAATTCGTCATATTTTAATTCTTGAACTACCGAACTGAACGCTTTCTAACCCTTTGCACTCGACCATTTCTTGACTAAAGAAGAATAGGAGTTCAAAAATCTTCTGCTACAAAGCTGACGATATTATTTTGAGCAGTAAATAAGAAATTGTATAATAATTAACACGTATTTCATTTCGATACCTCGCATACTGTTACGTTGTTTTAAATTTGATATATTAATTAATATAGATCTTCGAAATTTTATCAAATGGTGACTGAAAGGCACCTCTCGAGTGCAAAGGGCTAATAACTGGTTTCTAAATTTTTGTTGACACTTTGACTGCCATGTTGGTCATATAACCGGTCACGGTTTCTCGTGGGACGACATTGGTGACTTGATGGAACGCTTGGACTATTTACGATTGTAAATGTTGAATGAAAATTTATAATTAGTGCATTTTTAATATAGCCGTTAATTAGAGGATGCTTTGAAATAAAAAGTGTCTCATTGAACAATTACAAATTTTTAATTTGTCGCTGTCAATCGTTACCAAGGTACCATGGTCACCTGTGACTGCTAATAAGATAAAGACTCCATTGGGTAAGAATGTTGTCTTATATCACCGATTTATTATTATTTTGCTATTATATGCTTTGAATAGTAAAAATGAGAAATTAAATAAATAATAAAAATAAAATAAATTCTGTGGCGAAACACGTGATTGCACTGTGACAGTCAAAGGGTTAATCTATAGATAATTTTAGGATTTTAGGATTGATTAAAATTGATTGTATAATTTTTTATTGCAAATAATCATCAGGTATCGCGTTTATTAATTTTTCCATGAATATAAATTTTATTTTATTTTAAAATATTTTGTTTAATATATCATATGAAAGTATACGTTTTTAATAATACTGTATTCGAATTCCAGAAGAAATAAATATTGGAATATACAATTGTACATATATTATATATAAGAAAAATTGCGAAATCGAGAGAAATAGAAAATTTTTAAAAATTTAAGAGCAGAGATTTGACCAAGCATGTGCAGGTCGGTAGTTCTGATGTTGAATTGATACTTCAGTTAACCATCATGCATCGTATTACTTGCAAAAGGTATGACAAAGTTTCCATATCACTGAAGGGAAAATAGAGATATTTTTGTGAAAAATAGTAAGAAGAATTTTATCCTCGAGATTTTAATACCGAAGACACTCATAGTACCTGAATATTAATTTTCCTCTCCACGAATTAAAATATTAATAAAAGCCGCATATTTTTATTAAGAATAAATTTATAATAAATATAATTAACAATTACTATATTTACTGTACGCAACGTATGATTATTATTTATAATCGTCACGGAAAATTTGGAAAAAATTGCAAGGTGCCAAAATTTGACGATATGAGCCATTTACTGCACAAATCGATCAACTCCACTTTTTGAAAAATCTTAAATTTAATTGTCAGAGCACTTGGTATAGTCGTAACTTTTTATATTTATAATAACTTTCCCTGATAATTAAGATTAACACCATTAAACGACAAAAATTTGTTGGCCACTGAATAATAAATAATTTATTTCAGAGGTCACTTTGATTAACTCCGTACTCTAATGTAAATCGTTGCAATAATGCAACTCAAATGCACTAGCAAGCCATGAATGATAACGGTGAATTTTTTAGCGCCGTCTTATCAGAATTTAAGTAAAATTTAGCAAAATTTAAATTTATTACTTTTTCACTTGCCAAATCGGTTAATTCTTCCAGTAACATAAAAATGGTTACATTACTAACGATTACCTTTTGGCTATTTTTTCTTATAAATTTTATATACCGTTAGACGAAAGTTACATTTGTATTTATGCATTCTACGATATTTCTTTCGATTTAAATTATAAAGGGAATTTTAAAAAACAATATACATTATTACATTGCATTTCTCCACTTTTTGTTTTACGGAGTTTAATCACATTTATCACGAAATACAATTTTCTACGAAATTTAATACCGCATTTTCTCGATGCTTGTCAAATTTTTAAAATATCACTAGGCGATTAAACGATGGATTACACAGGGTTAATTCGATTTCGATCACGTACTCGATTAATTTCCCTCTTTTTATTTTTTCACAAATACACGAAAAGGCAAATTATCGGAAATAAAAGTGCGAAAGGGTTAAGCATATCCCCGTCGCCTGTCAATGTCCTCATCATCGTTCTAAACGCTGTCACTGTTAAAAAAGACAATTCGCTGTCCACTTTTGCCGATGGACTCTCACTGTCATTGTTGTTGTTGTTATTGTTGTTATTAATCTATCCGCCGGTTTCTACATCTACATATATGCGATCCCTGGTCCCGAGTGTGCAATAATCGAGTAAATCGAACGAAGATCAATCGAGTGCTCGAGGGAAATTTTCAAAGGAAAAGCCATTCAACGATTTTTCTCTCCAGATACACCGACACAGTCACCATTTACCAAACGAACTAAAATCAATTTACAGAATCAACTCACAGTTTCGATTTTTCACTGCTTTATTTCAATATTCGTGTTACATGTTTGTCGAGTATCGTTCAAATTCGTCTTTCATTTCTTTAATTTATTTTTTCTTTTTTCTTTTTCTTTTTCATTGTAATACTCACAATTTTACAGGTCCGGTAAAAATAGCGTTCTCGGGGTATCCGAGTCCTCGCCTAATGTTCATCGAGTGTTTCTCAAGTACCCGGATACTCTCGTTGTGTCTGCGGAACACGAATACAATCAACAGACACTGATAATGATTTGGTATGCGTGTTTTTATGTATGCATGTATGCGTGTGATATATGTATGCACACACGTATATATTTACATATATATGCGTGTGTTCCATGAGTGTGAAGAAACAAGAAAAATAATGGAGTTTGAATGATGCGTTTGCGATCCGGTTTACGATGCGTTTATCGGTTCAGATAAGATATAATATACCCATAGGGAATCGAAGTTGGTATTTTTAATATGATCGTAAGATGCCCCCGATCGCTTCGGTATTATTCGTACCCTAAGATCGGCATGAAACCTTTTCGTTTTCCCTGTTCGCTTTAGGCTCGAGCGCATAACACAGTGCTTCGCTGTCGAGCCGGCATATATCATTCGGATTGCCTCTGTCCTCTGCATTCCTCTCATCCGGAACAATCGAACACGGTGTATTACACGGGGATATACGAAGGCATATACACACGCACACGAGGATCCGAATAATATCTGCGGTGCTAGGTTCGCGCTGTTCGTCTTTCAGTCGTGGTGATATACGCAACGTTGCTTCCTCAGCTGGACAACCTGTACCGCTAGCTAAATTTTCATCCTTATTTTTCTATTTTTCTTTGTCTCTTTGGAAAATAGCGAACTCGTTCGGGACTCGCCGTGTCACGTTTGCGTGGTGGAACGAATACAAAAGGCAGATGAAATTATGTGAAAAAAGAAAAAAAAGATTTATTGTATATGAAGCTACTGTGATGTTACTGTTGAATATAAAAAAAAATATATATATATATATA